TTGCATGCCTGAGGGCCTAGATTTGAATCCCAATATCAGGAAAAAAAAAAATGTGATTCCTTAAACTGCAGTACCATCACTCTCTGTAGAGGCATCTTCTGGCCCAATTCACATAATTCAGTAGGAATAGGACTTCGTAGAACTGGTGTACAATTGCAGTTAAAGCTATTGCAGTGGGTAACAGTTTTCATGTCTAACCTGAGGGGTCTCAAGACTATTAGTATCCACGGAAATGTGGCAGGCTAACCAGTTGCCTTGTACGTGGGGAAAAATGCCTGAATGCAACAAGTATACAAGAAGACACAATAGACCTAAAGCCCATTTATTTTTAAAAGGGGGTGGGGGAATGGAAAACAAAATATTTAAAGCAATAACCTAGAAAAAGTGATCCTATAGTAAACAGAAAAGTTACCAAAAAGCAGAAATAGAAATTATTCAAAGCTGGACTATAGATCCATGCAGAGTCAATTGACATAAAATATATTCTCTGGGAGGGTATAAAGAAAGGGTTTGTTTAGCTCAGTTTTGGAGACTGAATATCACACTGAGCAGCCCCAACTGCTTGGCCTCTGTGAAGGCTTTGCAGCGGCTGGCAGCCATAGCACAAGGACACAGAAGAGGGAAATGTGATGAGATACACCACCAGGGAGACGGGGGTCTGTCTATGAAGACAAGTTTCTCAAGTCCAGCACTGATTCTTCAAGGACAATGCCCCAGCCATCTAAATACCTTGCATCAGCCCCACTTCTTAAAGGTCCCACTACCACTCTACCGGGGACCAAGACTCTAGCACATCATCAAGCTTTGAAGGACAAACCACATCCAAACCAAAGTAATAATGACTTCAAACACAATTCTAGGCAAACTTCTGCCAAGACATGGAAGGCCTGGGCATGGTGGTACATGCCTTTAGTCCCAGCACTTGGCAGGCAGAGATGGGTAGATCTTTGTGATTTCAAGGCTAGCCTAATCTACATCATGAGTTCTAGGCCAGAGGCAGCCAGGGCTCCGTAGTGAGACTGAGTCTCAAAAAAAGGAGAGATGATAACTTAGGAGTTAAGTACACTGGCTGCTATTGCAGATTGCCCAGGCTTGGTTCTCAGCACATACATGGCAGCTAGCAATTGTCCACAACTCCAGTTCCAGAAGATCTGATGCCCTTTTCCTGTCTCTGTGGGCACTGCATGTCACAGATCCACTTACAGGGAAAACACTCATACACATTAAAAAATACATTTTTTTAATTAAAAGACCTGGGGGGGGGCAAGTGCTGGGTATGGAGCCCCACAGGTTTGTGCACAATAGGCAAGGACTACCAACTGAGCTACAGCCCCACCCCAATGCCTTTTATAATGCCAGTATACTTGATATCAAAATCTGACAAGGATGGTACCAAAAAAGCAAATTACAAGTCAATATTTCTTACAAATATGCTTGAAAAAAATATCCTAGATGAAATATTGACAAGGGCAAATGAAATGGCAGAAAAAGAATGCAAGACTAGGTTAACGTGAGAATATCCACATGCAACTCATATTTTAAGACAATGTATATAACCTTTTTAAAATTTTTTTAACATTTATTATATTTATGTCTCCATGTATAGAGGTCAGAACAATTGGCAGGAATTCTTTCCTTCCACAATTTGGGTTCCAGGGATCAAACTCAGGCGGTAAGCCTTGGTGGCAAGTGCCTTGATCTGCTGAGCCATCTCACTGGCCCAAATGTATTCCATCTTAAATGTGCAAAATAGCTGGCGAAATTTAAAATTCTTTTTTAAAGATTATCTCAAAGTACAACTTGGGCCGAATATATACTTTTTATTGTTATATAGAGTTTCTGTACACAGGGGCTGGTGAGATGGGTCAGTAGGTGAAGGTACTTACCAGCAAGACTGATGACCTGAATTCAAATGCCCAGGACTAACCTGGTGGAAGGAGAGAACCAACTCCCTAAGTTGTGCTTTGACCTCCACACATGCATCCTGGCATGTGTGCACACACAAAATAAATAATATATATGTGTAACAAAACTTGCTGTCTGTAGTAGTGAGAATGAGGTGTCTCCCTCAGACTTATGTCTTGGCACACTTGGCATATGGTACCCTGTTGGTGGTGCTGTTTGGGGAAGGTCTTGTGATTCCTGGGAGGTATGGCCCTGCTGGTGGAAGCATGTCACTGGGGTAGGCTTTGAGAGCTCATAACCTCAAACCCCTGCAGTTTTGCTGTCTCCTTGCTTTCTGTTTGCCCTTGGAGATGTGAGCTTTCAGCTCTCTGGTGGCTGCCTGCTGCCGCCATGCTTGCCCTGCCACTATGGACTCTACCTCTGGAACCTTAAGCCCAAATAATCTTTCTTCTGTAAGTTGCCTCGGCCATGGTATTTTATCACAGCAACAGAAAATTAATATACTGTCTTAAGTATAAAATGAAGCCGCAATACATTCACAATTTTGTGTAAACATCACTAGTATTCAAGCTTTCTTCACCACATGCAGAAATTCTGTACCCAATAAGCAGTAATTCCCTTTTCATCCCTATTCAGCCAAGTAGAGCCTCTAATACATTCCATCCCTCTCCTTCCCTTTCCTCCTTTCTCCTATACTCCCTCTTCCTTTCCCCCTCCCTCTCCTTTCCCCCTCCTCTCCTCACTTTTTATTTTTTGTATAGCTTTAAGTTATCTAGTGTCATTTTATTTCAGCCTTGAGGGCTCTATAGTAGGGCAGGTGTACAAGTATCAAACATCTTTAGCTTTAAACATTTTTTTTATTTTATGAGCATATTGCCTGCATGTATGTAAGTTCACCTATGTCATTCAATGCCCGGAGAGGTCAGAATAGGGTGTCAGATCCCCTGAAACTTGAATTAGGGACAATCGCTAGCTGCCATGTGGGTGCTGGGAACCAAACCCTTGTCCTCTTCAAGAGCAGCCAGTGCTATTAACCCGAGTCCAGCCCCATCTTTAGCCTTTTTTTTTTTTTTTCTTTTTGGAGACAGGGTCTCCCTGTAGCCCCAGCTGGCCTGGAACGCACTATGTAGATGAGACTGGCCTTGAACTCTGAGATTCGACTGCCTCTGCCTCCCAAGTGCTGAGTGCTGGGATTAAAGGCATGTACCACCACACTCTTAGCTTTAAAAAAAAAAAAAAAAAAGATTTATCGGGGCTGGAGAGATGGCTCAGTGGCTAAGAACACTGGTTGTTCTTGCAGAAGACCTGGGTTTGAATCCCAGCACCCACATGGCAGCTAACAGGTGTCCATAACTCCAGTCCCAGGGGATCTGACAGTCTCTTCTGACCTCTGCAGGCATTGCATGACATGGGTGCACTTACCTACACGCAGGCAATACATGCATACACATAAAATATTTATCTATTTAATGTGTTTGTTTTCCCTGCATGTATGTAATTGCATCTGTGTCATTCAGTGTCCATGGAAGCCATAAGAGGGCATCAGGCCCCCTGGAACTGTAGTTACGGACAGTTGTTAGCTGCCATACGGGTGCTGGGAACCGAACTCTGATCCTATTCAAGAGCAGCCAATGCTCTTAACTGCTGAACCATTTCACTAGCCCCACCTTCAGCTTATTTTCCAGGGCATATCTTAATTCTTCCTTTATTCTGGAAGAACAGTTTTGCTGGATATAGAATTCTTCACCATTTTTTTTCCCCTTTAATACCCTAAATTTGTTACCCTAGTTCCTTCTGGCCAGGATCAGAAATTATGTATTCATGTCACTGAAGATCCCTTTACCCAAATCACTTTTTCTGCTTTAAGGAATATTTTTCTGGAGGAGCTGTGTGCGGTGGCTCACACCTTAAATCCCAGCACTTGGGAGGCAGAGGCAGGCGGATCTCTCTGAGTTCGAGGCCAGCCTGGTCTACATAGTGAGCACCAGGCCAGCTGGGACTACAGGGAGACCCTGTCTCAAAAAAAAGAAAATCAAATCGTTTTGTTCTAGTGCGTCAATTGTCATGTGCCCCAGTATGGGAAGGAGCCTTTATGTTGTGAATTTTTTGAGCTTGAATGAGTCTTTTCAGTTGGAAAATTTTCAGGCATTATTTCTGCAAATACTGTCTCTGCCTTTTTCTCTTCTTTTGGGACTACCATAATGTGTACTGAACTTGATGGTTTCCCACTCTTAGGCTGGGTCGGCTTTTCTTCATTCCTTGTCTTTTATGCAAAATACTTGAGGATAGAAAACAGTGGGAAAAGTTCAAGTTTTTGAAGTTTTTTCTTCTGCCTTTTTAAAAAAAAATTTTTATTTGTTATTTTATGTGTATGAGTGTTATTGCCTGCATGTATGTGAGTGCACCCATGTTGTGCATTGCCGTGGAGGTCAGAAGAGGGTTTCAGATTCCCCTGGAACTGGAGTTAAGGACAGTTCGTAGCCGCCATGTGTGTGCTGGGAATCGAACCCGGGTCCTCTGTAAGAGCAGACAGTGCTCTCAACGGCTGAGCCATCTCTCCGGCCCCTCTTCTGCCTCTTAAAATGGGGTCTTCATTATAATGCTGTCAGCTAGACCTGTCTGTATTCATGGATTCTAGTGATCTTCCTGCCTCAGCTTCTCCAGTGTGGGGAGCACTGGTGTGGTTTCTTCTTGCTTAATTCAGCATTTGCTCAGTTGCTATAAACTTTGTTTCCCAGAATCTCCAACAAACTGGATATTAACAATTTCTGGCTTTTTCCGGATTTGTTGGCTGGATGGGTGTTTGAACTATCTGCTCCACCACTTTACTGGTACCATTCTATAGATACATTCAAAATTATAATGGGTGCAAGAAAATTTTCTTAGCTGAAAACTATTTCTGTGCTGTAGTTTAAACTTGTATTCCTGAAATAGCTCAGTGACGTCAGGGGGAGGGAAGAATTAATTCTGTTTATCTAGCAAGGAAAGAATCATGGTCAAACAATTTGGAAAGAACATATGAAAGGCCAAAAACTTGGATGGAAATCTTTTATTTCCCATTGTAATCTTCTCTTTTTTTCTTATTGGCAATACAGATTGGCCCTTAAAGAGCAACTATCACTAAATTAAAATGAGGAAAATAGGGCCAATGTGATGGCTCAGCAGGTAAAGGTGCTTCCTGCCAAACTGACAGACCAAGTTCTACTCCTGGGACCCACATGGTGGAAAGAGAGAACCGGCTTCCAATTTCCACAAGTTGTTAATCTCCATATTCACCATGGCACTTACATGTCCCACCAAAACAAGTAAGTGTAAAACTAAATGTTGTACAGCAGGGCGTGGTGGCGCACACCTTTAATTCCAGCACTTGGGAGGCAGAGGCAGGCAGATCTCTGTGAGTTCCAGGCCGGCCTGGTCTACATAGTGAAGTTCCAGGACAGCTGGGGCTACAGGGAGACCCTGTCTCAACAAGACTGAAAAAAAAAAAAAAACAAAAAAAACCCCACCACCACCAACAAAAAAACCTAAATGTTGTGTGGTGGATTTTTTTTCATAGTTGTTCCCATAACCAGTTATGGGATTAGAGGCTGGAGAGAAGGTGGGACTAGTACTGTCTGGAATTGAACATGAAATTCCAAGACAAACACTTGGAAATGTACAAGGATGCTAACCTAATGCCCAGGAGCTGGACAACAGCGATGTGCTTAGTGGTTTTGACAGAAGATATGGAAACTGGGGCAGGGAAGCAGGGAAGGCCGGGTTACAGCCTGCCTTGGGTAGCAGCAGGGAGCACTTCGAATTGGAAAGCGATGTTTTGGAGTAAACTGTTTAAAAACAAAATAAAGTGTGTGGGCTGATGGTACAGAACAGTAGTTTCGGTGCCCTTAAACTGAATGATTTTATTGCCAGATCCTGAGGGGATGTCAGAGGAGCCAGTACTTCTGTTGTTTGAGCACCTGGGACAGAGAGACACATTGCAGATCTGAACTATCTGGCTCACTTTGTTTCCAGTGATGCCCACCATATGAGAGGTAAAGTGGCAGACAGTGAGCCAACACTGCTCTACTGAGCCCAAAAGTGGGAACAGGGGATAAAATAACCATTATGTTCTTGCTTTGAAACAGGATCAACTAAGTAGCCCAGGCAGTTCTTCACTCACCCTGCCTCTGCCAGCCAAGTGCTGAGATTTGTATGCAGTCTCCCACAGTGTCCCCACATCTGGCCTGGAATTGGCCAATGAATAAACAGATAATGAAACAGAACATGGAGCCCCAAAATAGGCCCCCACACTATAATCAAACTTGTCTCTGGCAAAAGAACAAAGGCAGCATCATAGCTGTGACCAAATACCTGACAAAACCAAAGGAGGAGCTGGGCGTGGTGGCGCACACCTGTAGTCCCAGCACTCGGGAGGCAGAGGCAGGCAGATCTCTGTGAGTTCAAGGCCTGCCTGGTCTACATAGTTCCAGGGGATATATCACAGTGAAAGATTTATCGTCCTCTTTTTTTTTTAAAAAAAAAAAAAAAAAAAAAAAAAAAAAAAAAAAAAAAAAAAACAAAGGAGGGAAGACTCAGCAGTTTCAGGGGTTTCTTTCTCTTTAATTCTGTCCATGCTGTCAGCTATGGGAGGCAGGACTTCTGCCTTCCTCTTCCCTGGAAATGTTTTCACAGAACATACGCTTTCCTTTTGTGGTGTGTTTTCCTACTGTGGGGCCTCTCCACCACACAATGCACTGGCAGAACGAGGCTTTTCTTTAGATTTTTTTTTCTTTTGGCTTTTATTTTATTTATTTTATGTGTATAAGTATTCCCTCCATGTATGTAAGCGCACTCGTGTTGTGCAATGACCATGGCGGTCAGAAGGGGGCATCAGATCCCCTGGAACTGGAGTTACAGATGGCTGTTAATCACCATGTGGGTGTTGGGAACCCAGATCGTCTGCAAGAGCAGACAGTGCTCTTATATACTGAGCCATCCCTCCAGCCCTTGAAACTGCCTTTTCCACAAATGGTTCTGAACAGCTGGACATTTACGTTCAAAAGAAGGAATCTGCATACAGACTTTAACATTCTTTACACAAATTAAACTGGATCGAGGGTAGACCTGGCTTTGGTAGGCTAAGGCTGAGATCCTAGCAGACAGCCTGAGAGGTGGGCTCTGATCTCCATCAGTGTAGCAGTTGTGATCTCAGCACACTGCCAGAGAGTGCTGAGAACACAGCAGAACAACTGAGAGTCCCAAAATTGCCCCCCCTCCCTTAGGGAATTTCCCAGATATTCTCTGAGTTTCTGCTAATAGGGGTCCAAACTTTAGAAAGAAGCCTGAGTGTACCTGACTGGAACTTGACTTGGGCTTC